CCCCAAAACCCCAAAACCCCAAAACCCCAAAACCCCTTAAGAAGGTATATAAATTGATATTCAACAAAAATTAGTCAGCCTCCTCTCTTCTCTCTAGGTCTTGCGAGAAATCATTAATTAGCTCTTCTATTTCCTGTTGATTCTCAATGATGAGAGGTTCAGCATTAAATGGTCTTTCAAAAGCAGTTCCCCTTTTAGATTGAAGATTGTTCTTTAAAGATACATCAATCCTTGCACTTCGAGACTCTTCTTGGTTCTGGGTTCTGGTAGGTTCCTGAGCAGAAATGCTCCTTTTCCTTACTCTAAGTCCTTCACTGCCTCTTTTCGAAGGCATTTTCTTCTCTTCCTCATCTGAAGACTTATTCTCTACACTCTGAATAGCTTTCATATGCTGATTGTCAGCTTGGCTGATCATTCTGATAGCATTTTCAATGCTATCATTTCCCTCTCTTATCATCTTAAACTCTTCGTTCACTTCGTTACGGAGAAATGGCTGGTCTGATTCATTAAGAGGATCCCGATAGTTTTCTTTATAAGAAGCAAAGGCGCGACTCTTACTCTCTTCTCTCAATTGGTTCCGATTCTTGAAGTCGATAGTTCCCTTAGCTTCCTCCTCATGCTCTATGATTGGCTTGGTGAGATCATATCTAGTCCTATTCCGAGACTTCTTAGCTCTGAAGTCTGAAGAATCTTGAGAGGAGATCTGAGCATTGGTCATTCCAGTCCTTGGAGTGTTATTCAGATTTCCTTCTGTTGTAATCGCCTCACGCTTGATTTTTGTTGAATCTTTATTCTCTTGCAACTCATTTACAGGAATAATCTTGGAATTTTCCTTCTGTTCTGGACCATTCTTGTTGTTTTTCCTAATTTTCTCTGTAACTGGAATCAAATTTTCTAGCGACTCCTGATAAATATCTCGACATTGTTTAGGGAATTTATCCTGTAAGATCGAAAAATCTGCTCCTTGTTCTATATCGCCAGGTACCATACAGCTGATACATCATTTTCACCAAGGTTTCTCGACCATTGCGATTAGTAAACTCCTTCCTACCTGGACATACTGTGGTTGGTTAACTCTTAAAAAGGAAGGTTTGTTACTTCCTAGCAGGGTTCCAAATTTCGAGTTGCTATCTACTATCCAAAAGCCATCTTTTTCATACCTAATCTCAGAATGGAGCCTCGAGACGCTAATGTCCACAATTCTGGCTTCGCATTTATTAGCTCTGCCTATGCAGATTTTTTTCATATTTTTGCTCATCTTCAGTACATGTAGGACTCTTATCCGCTTATCTTCATGTCTTTGGAAACTTTCGAGGAGACAATACTGATCTTCAAAGGGGATTTCAAATTCTACCAAGGGATACCGTTTCTTTTTCATGACATAATCTGGGTATTTGACTTTACAAAGCTCTCAAAAGAGATTTTCCCATATGTAAGTCTTGCAGTTTTCCTTCTCAGAGATCTTGCACTTAGACTTAATCCATTCTTTCAGGCAGCTTACATGCATGTACTTGACAGTACCGATACATTTGCAAGGAGAGATCAGAGGATCTTCATGGTTATCCTCCTCTTCTGATAGACAGATCTTTCAGACACAACTGAGAGATTTCACTGAAGAGGATTTGTCAGAAGGGACCTTTCTAAGACTCCTGTTTGATCCCTGCCTCTGATGAGGTAGTTTCTGGTCCAAAGAGTTGTTTAATAGATAGGAGTTTGAGTTATTCATAAACCCATTGTTATTAGCAAATGATACATTATTCATCATGTCATTTCCCCTTTCAGTTGACAAATTTTCAAAATAATTGTTTACATTAGCATTATCCTGCCCGTTCAGACCTTCCAAATCTTCTCGATTTTCTGTGTTTAATTGTAACCGATGAGATCTTAGCTCATGATTAGCAACTGAGGTTACTAAATTTTGAGGTACCTCAGTATCATGATGCACAAGACGAGGAGAGTTAACAGACTCTTCTAGTAGTCCTTCCCGATTCGGATTCAAATTTTGGACAACCTGAGCTGCCCTATCTCCTTGGACTTGATGAAGTTCTAGCTCAATCTCAGTATTGCCTAATATATCTTGAGCATAAGGATTATTCACCTGCACTTGATTCTCTCGAATAATATTCTTATTATGCGCATCTCTCTCATTACTCGGGTCTGTAGAAAGATCTCTGACGTTATAAACTAGCCTATAGGGGATAAGCTTGATAGATTCAAAACTCATATAGTTTTAAAAAATGTGGTCATACCTTCCAAACCTGATCTTGTCACCCTTATTTTAGCTTATGCCCCCTGTACCCATACTTGTTGATTTGGAAGCTCTTGATGACCCACCAGAGTTTTTCTTTATTAGATGTTATATTATCTGATTTATGGTAGAGGTAATAATCGCCATTTATCTGAGAAATACTAGCAAGACACTTGCTATTTTCATACTCAGACCTGAACGTATCCTCAGCCCCACTCTCGATGTTAAATTGTGAAAGTTGGATGCCATCATTTCCATCTCGGTTGATAAATAATGAGTTTTGGATAAAAATATCACTTTCAGCGTATCTAGCTGAATCGTAATCAAAAAGACCGTGTGAGTCTCTGAACCATGAAACTAATCTATAATTGTTACTGGAGGTCTTACCTCAAGTAGACGTATTTATTTGTTATGATACCCATTCATTTCCAACTATATGTAGTAAGCAAAAAGAGCTACCCTATTTATGTTCTTTTGCTTTAGCCTGATTAAGTCATCCAATTGGCCATGGTTCTTTAAAGTATTCGTATTCATTTCAAAAAATATAATTAATTTGGGGTTTTGGGGTTTTGGGGTTTTGGGGTTTTGGGG